GGAGACAATTAACTACAGATAGGTCCCGAAGGTCGATATTATGTGGTGCTCAGTTGTGTTATACGACACTAATCTTACAGAATCATTGCTTTACTTTGATACTTTGAGGACAAAATTATGATATGACCTTCAAAACTTAATTTTTGTGGCAAATATTCTGTGAATAATAAAATTAGACTGTATCCACATTGATATACGATTACTAGAATGTATTAATAAGTTCGGACCTAGACTGATGATAACAATTTGTGTTGAGCACACAATATATTAGGGTCTGTGCACACCAGTGCAGTACGCGGAGCGTGACGCAAGGCGTTGTGGCGCGCCACCCACACCGCTGCCTACTAAACTAATGTCACTTTAAAGCACACGAGCACACACACTTACATAGTAATATAATGTTCCAGAATTTCACGAGCTCACCTTTCAAACCCTTTCAACCAATCGTCAGGTCAGATAATATTGGTAAATATCTGTCCCTGTGTGATAACAGTTGTTAACACAACAGAAGAAAGAAAAATGTTTGAAACCAGTTTTATAAAAACAAAACTTGTGAATTTTTCACGGGTGCGGATAAAATCCTCTTAGTTAAAATGTATTAAGTGCCCGTTTAGATTGACAAGTATTTTAAAGCGAAACGTAATTGAAAAGTTGGCGTATTTAAAAGAAGCACTAAGAAATACGCTGTAGACGTGTAAAAAGGTTAGTTATCGCCACTTCATAATATCGAAGACCCCTGCAACATGATCGTTCGTGTTAACAAGCGCAAATGTAACGCGTATTAACACAGAACCCGATGTCAAATTAATTAATACATGTTCACTTTACACGAACGCGGGTGTACAATCGACGAATCCGAAATAATATCCCACCAGAAATTCAGTTTCTCTCACATTTATACAAACATTCGAGCAGACTTCCACGAAAATGACTTTTCAAAAAAAGTCAAAATCATTATTTAAATTAAACTCTTGCAGGCACTTTTGAACTTCAAACAAATCTTAAATAGAAAAATTATAGTACTCGTTCAAAAATGTAGATTACAATGGAGAAGAACGAGCAAGAAACTCCGTAGTTACTCTTTTTAAATCAATTTCACACAACTACAAATTCTTTTTTACATTATTAAGTGGGTTCTTTGACTAACAATAATGTCTATGTTACTATTAATTTTAAACTAAATTGAGTATTATGAAATGAACTACTTACTTATGGTTAAAGTGGGTCATGATTCAAATGTGTCGACAGTACTCTCAGATCTGTCGTCGAGCGTGCTCGCGTGTGTAATTGTGCTAATATCGCGTTCATCTCCGCTGCACATTACTTCAGAGTGCACCATAAACCTGTGCTTATCTTCTATTGCTACTGAGACAAATTGTGCTTAAGATAACAGATTTATTTCTTGAAATTTTTTGTTTTTTTTATATTTATATTTATAGTATTTTCAGGTTTTATATGAAACATAGTTTATATGGGCATTCGATACCTGAAATAAATAAATAAAATAAAATAGTAACTTACTGGAACTGCTACAATTTTGATAAGATTACAACGTATGAGAAATAAATTAAGCTATTGGTTTTAATGTCAGCTTTATCATAATAAGCATTTTTTACACAACTAAAATATTTCTTTCCAAATGTGATAAAATGTAAAAAATAAGTTTTACCTGTTAGTCAAGTATTTAAAGGTTCAGAAAGAAAAATATTATTGACAAGCTTCCGCCCATGGCGGGCATCACCTACCTATATACCAAATATCAACTAAATCGGACCAGCCGTTTTTGCGTAATACAATAACAAACATACATACATTCACACAAACTTTCACATTTATAAAACAAAATAGGATATGATTATAGGCGGGATACAAATCATGGTAATATATTGATGCAGTTGCCGGGCAACTGGCTGCTGTGCAATGAGTTTACCTCCCGTACGGAACAAGACTCTGAGTAATCCACAAATTGTTGTTTCGGGTCTAGGTGGATTGTGTAAGTTAATTTGTACACAAATATATTTGTAAACACATCCTCGGTACAGAAGAAAACTATAGTGTTGGACAACATTTTTTATAAGAAAAGAAGACTGGCAAGCTTCAACACCTTCGGGCATGGAATAAATGGGAATGTTCAAAAAACTACACAGTCTCAAGAACAACAAAATCAAATGCAAATTGTTAATAAAGCTGCCATTAGTTGACGGTTCGCTTCTATTTTTTTATCACAAACAAAAAGTCAGCTTGGCCGAACACTTCAATATCCATTACCGCATGACAGCCAGTGCAGTGCTGTGCAAACAGCCGAGACAGCGCCGCGTCAGCGCTGCAACGGTGCAAGGCAGCGGCTTATAGGCCGTTTACCACACTAGTTAGAGTAAAATGATCTTAAAATAATAAGATATTTTAGAGAATATCAAACTTTCGACTAGTTTTCATTAACTCAAAAGATATTTTTGTTCATTCCAGTATCGGTATTAGCCTATTAGGCCATGTTATATGAAACTAATTAAGTAACCATAGTTCATGAGTATCAACTCGTATCATGTATATACAGTTGCAATATTACTTGGTGGTTTAAAGTTATATTAAAGAACAATTTAAGCAAAATACAATGTTACTATTTGTGTGATCCACGAATGTTGTTCGGGGTCTGGGTATAATGTGTATGTGAAATTGCATGTTTGTAAACGCACCCACTATATAGAAAAAAAATCCTAGTGTGGGGCAACGGTTTTTTTTAACTACTAAATATCTTACACAAGGCGCTTTTCTTTGCATCAACTTTTAACTTGTTCTTTCCAATAAACATGACCAAGGCCTAGAAATATTTTACAACGAGACAGTGCGGCGGCTGAATGTTAGCCCGCTATTAATTGCACCACAACCCTACAACTGATGAGCCCTCAGCCAAGCTCAGCTAAAATAATTAACAATGTCTCGATTATTGTGGTTTTTCATCATAGTTATTTTCAGTAAAAACATACTTTGCTATAATAGGAATACTGTTATAAGAAGAGTACGACATTTTGATGAAATAATTACTTACAGCACTTGAAAGAAGTGGATTAAAAACAAATAATAGACGTCTGATTGGATTGCCACTAATCGTTCGATTACTGACAGTCTGGACTCGGCCCAGGGGCGTACTGCTCGTCAATCGGACCACTTTTCCAATACGAAATGACATTGAACCTTACGCCGTTGAAATACCTTCTGTTTATTGAAAATATTACGTGTGTGTTCAGAAATTACTCGCATTTTAAAGGATGGTCGCGTATTCTTGCTTTCGCTTGGTTTCTTCTAGAAATCCTCTCTATTTTGATTAACGCTTTAGTCAATTTTGCGTTACAAAATGAAATCCACATTAAAGCACAACGCATATATTTCTTTACATCCATCGGATTTTCACTTTACGTAATGGTGGCGGCTGTATATTACTCAAAAAAGTTTTACAGTTTACTTTTAAATTTCGACGCGTTCTATGATATTTTCGACGATAGAATTTACGAGCATAAATTGTTAAAAGCGCAAAAAGTTTTAACAATAAGTATCGTTTTGTTTTGTTTAATAAAAATAGTAACGTCATCAGCAGTTCGATTGAGTAACCAGAAAAGTGCGGAAATTATGTATGAATCAATTTTGTATAATTACAACTTCAATTTATCAGATTTTCGTTATTTATTTCAATATTTTGTGTTGTATTCTATATTGTTCGTGATTTGTGAGCAACTGAGGACAATCACGCGATCAATAGACAGAGAGCTGTCGCCTCCGAGAGATATGAGAGAAAATGTGGAACAAGCGGGAGATTTGTCGAGCGAAACCGTCAGCCATGACAAGATAAATAAATGGGTGAAAGCGTATGAAAATATTAACGACACCTCGAATTTATGCAACGCAATGTTTAGCATACAGGTAGGAGGGAAATTTTGCCACAGAAATGTGAATAAAATATAGTCCAATGTTTTACTGCCAGTCTGTTTTATAAGTGTCTACATTTTGAACTTACATAAATTTTGCTAAGGTTCAATTTTAATTAACTCATTTTGATTTTTTCTTTCTTTCAGTTGACTGTAATGATTTTGATTGTGACGGTCTATTATATAATATTGATGTACAGCATAGCTCTAATATCTGTTGAGGTACGTACAAAATATTTTTGGGTACTTAGTAGATAGTAATTTTAATATTTTTATAAATAAAAAAATGGCTGCTATATAACTTGCCACGGGTTTGATTCCTGCGTCAGGCAAAACGCTTTTTCTTTTTTATGATAGGTCAGCTGAGGATTTTAGGATGATTTGAGGATTAGGTAGGGATGTGAGGAGAGGAAGATTACTCCTCTGAGTTATACGTACTTTACGTACTTTCTAAGATTATTTAGACACCAATGGCATAAAATGCTGATGGAAAATTCTAATTATAAGTTTGGAATCGCCAATCCGCCTTGAGCAAGCGTGGTAATAAATGTTTACACCTCCTCTGTGAGAGAAGGGTGCTTTGCTCTTGAGGGCACTTGTAGGCCGATGATGATGATGAACTACCTTTTTTTATGGTATAAGTCAGCAAACGTGCAGACGGATTACCTGATGGTAAGCAATCGGCGCCGCCCATGGGCACCCGCAACACCAAATGAGTTACGAGTGCGTTGCCGGCCTTTTGGGGATATGGGTTGCGGATAAAGGATCGGGAAGGGATAGGGGAAGGGGAGGGATTGGGCCTCCGGTAACCTCACTCACAGGGCGAAACACAACGCTGGGTTGTTTCACGCCGGTATTCTGTGATTCCGTGGTATCACTCCGGTCGAGTCGACCCATTCGTGCCGAAGCTTGGCTCTCCCACATTTGTACCTTACCTTGTGAGTACGCCATTGTTTTTTAGGAACTGCGATCTTTTAGTTGTATTTGTGCAATTAAATACTTTCTTCGGTGACAGCTTACCATCATTCATATCACAATCTGCTGATATTATAATAAATATTGCTTTAGGGTAGCCAAACAATGCCGACGTCGATGTTTGCGCATCTATTCTCGATGGCGATATTCTTGACTGCACTGTTCGTGATATCTCGCGCTGGGCAGAATGTGCAGAACAGCTCTCTGCAGCTTAGACAGAAGCTCTGCGAACTCTGTGTCTACACTTTAGACAGTAAGTTGTACTAGAAACCGTGTAAATTATACCTACACTATAATAAGTTATAAAACTTATAACAAACGTTATAAGAAGTATTTGGGGAACAGACGTACTCAATATTTGTACATTGCGATTTTCTATCCCTATTTATTCGTGCACAAACTTCACTTGCGTGATGTAGGACTTGTAACGCCATCTGTTGAACATTGTCGTCACTATGTGCGTTACCACAAGTAATATTCCTTAAGTATTGAATTTGCAACTCAACATCTTCAGGGCAGAATAGTGTACATCTTGTACCTGATGTAATGCTGATGTTTAAATGAGCATATTTTGAAGTCATAATAATTCTCAATTAACAAAGTAGTTCAAGTTTCAAAAATTAGTTAAAATTACCGAATCTGCGGGTTGAAGTAGGAATTGGCAGGGATAAATGCTCGACAGGCTTATGGCCTCGAGTAGCGGCCATTGGAAGACGTAACGTGACAACCCTAACGTTTAAATGGTCAGTGAAACATGTCATGACTAAGACGGAGGCCTTTGTTCACCAGCACACATCGTACGGCTTATGATGATGATGATGATTTACAAAAACAATGTACTAATGTAATGTGTGTAGCGTGTCAGGTTGTCATAAAGTCTTCGGTCATAAAAATGTTATTTGATGGAGATTATTGCCATTAATACCGCAATGACGATAGGGTGGGCCAAATGGGTTATGATTTTAGGCGACTACCGTGTTATAGATGTTACATCAATTTCTTGAGCTTTTTTTTTTACTTGCAATAAACTAGTGCTTGACTGCGATCCCACCTGATGGTAAGCAGTGATGCAATCGTTGATGGTAAGGCGCACTAGTTTATTAAGAGCCTATTCACTCTAGCCTTGAAGACACCGAAATTGTATTCGGACGGAAAGACTGCAGCCGGCAAACTGTTCCAATTAGTTATGGCTACTATTCGCCTTGTATAGCATTATATCTGCCGGTGTTGCGAGTCAAGTACTAGAATGTACCGCGGTCTCGGCCTCGAGCAGGCTACAACCTTACCCCCCTCCCCGACTAAAAAAACGCTGTTTATAAATTAAATTTCTTATGTAATAATGTTAGTTGCCATATTCTTTGGAAATGGCTAACGCCCGGTTCCTATAATTGAGAAACGATCCGTTTTAATTACGAATCGTAGTTTTTTATACGACTCGTAAGCTAAAACCGTTCCTATAATAAACGTCTCGTCGTGCAACTTACTGACGGTTTGCAACTAACGGATATCGGTAAGCGAATTGTATGGAGATCTATGGTGTCTGTGGTTTTCCTATAAATACTTTAACCGTCAGTAGACGGTCAAGATAACTATTCGTAATGTCATTTGGTCGTAATGCGTATACAACGACGATTCGTTAAATATAGGAACCGGGCATTAACCGATTTTAATTTAATTGAACATACGTAGGTACATTATGAAATAGGTTCTTATTAATACCTTAATTTATTGTGATTGTTTGGCCTGTCGCGACCTGCCGAGTTAGCGAGCAATTTAGAAAATATTTGTTTTTTTTTTCAGATGAAGAGTGTTACAAGCTGGCAAAGGATTTACTTCGTTGCGTGCGCACGCGCCCCGTCCGTATCCACGTGTTTGGAACGCTTGACGTGGACATGTCAATGCTACCTTCGATCGTGGCATTCTTCACAACGTACACAGTAATAGCGCTACAGTTTAATAATGTATTGTAAATTACGTAGAGCGTCTAATATTATATGAGAAAAACTCAAAAATAAAAAAATACTAGTTCATGCCACAATCTTTTGCTATATTGATTTTGCCACGGTTGATGCAATGGTTGGGTAACCAGCTATCATGCAATATGTCTGTTGCGTTCGATTCCTGCTCGTAATGTGATCAACAAATTGTTGTTCCGGGTCTGGGGATGTGTACTTGATATTGTCTGTGAATGCACCCATTAGACAGGAGAAAATTCTAGTGCGAGGCACAAATGATTAAACGGGGCAAAAATTCGTGTAACAAAAATATTATAGAAATCATTTGAAAACATACATATATTTTCTTTAAACATATGTAATCAACATCAGTACGGTAGTTGAGTAGGTACTAGTGTCATTTAATTATTTGTGCAGCGTGAACCATAGATAGGCTATTATGTCCCAGTTGTACCTTTGGTTGATGTGATTGTACTCACATCACCAGGCAGAAAAGGCATATTATATTCATGATCTTGATTCTAGGTCTTACACTTATGTCTGAATGAAATGCTGATTATAGTCTCCGAAATAGGTACTTAAAAGATATAACCACTGAATACAAGGATTACCAATATCTATACGTATAACTATACAATCAGTTTGAGCTGACATCGACAGTGAGGTACATTTCGATCAAGGCAAAATTCGCTGAGTCAGCACTCTCACCTCATTGTCAGCATTCCTATACTGAGCTCACGTCTAGCTAGATACCTTTACCTACATTACATTTAGCTATTGAGTTTATTTAACTAATGTATATGTATTTAGGAAAAAGGGATTAAGGTCTGTTTTATTTATACAGTCCAAATTAATCTATACTAATATTATAAAGAGGTATAAAATTGTAAGTTTGTATGTAGGGGGTAATCTTTGGAACCGCTGGTCGGATTGCCAAAATTCTTTCACTGATAGATGGCTACAATGTTCTTGATTGCTATAGGCTATAAAACATCACGCTAGGATTAAATGGAGCCGTGCAGCGGGTGAAACCGCGCGAGAGTAGATAGTTTTCTATATTTACGTTCTAAAAAAATTTGTATTACATGTGTTGTTTGGGCGATTTTATCAAAGAAGTTTTATTTATTATTTGAATAATTTAAACTATAAGAAAGCTTACATTTCTTTAAAAAATGCATTTCTTATTTATTTGAACTTTTTATTTGATTTTCATTTTCCAGATTGACTGATTGATTTGATTTTTATAAGATAGGTCGGCAAACAAGCAGTCGGATTACTGATGGTAAGCAATCGGTGCCGCCCATGGACGCCTCCAACAAAAAGGAGTTACGAGTGCGCTACTAGCCTTTTGAGGATTGGGGAGAGATGAGAGGAAAGATTTTATTTCCTTTTCTTTTTCCGGCTGATATTAGGGTTCGGGGTTACGTCTGTGACGTCATACTTACCAGCTATACTTGAGTATTGTCAAACAACAAGACTACTAATAATATGCAAGAAATGTTTGTTTGTTTACACACAAACAATCCTCATTAGGTTTCCCATTCCTCACAGAAGTAAATATTAGCCGGCGTCGGTAGGTTTGTGGTTTCCTCGCGAGTTTAAGTTTAATGAGAGCAATAGGCACCTAGTGCCACCATAAGTGTTTTCATGAGATCCTTAGAATGTTTCTTAAGATTTCAATATTATACTTTTTACTGTACAGGTCGGCCAACAAGCTGGCTTTTGGGAGCATACCGGATTTTTGCAATTTCACACCAGCTTTCGCTAAGGCCATCATATCACTCTGGTCGAGCTGGATGCAATGAGCGAATGTGTCGTACAAAAACATGGTTCCCTACAATTAAAATTTAACTGAATAAACTGAAAACATAGCGTCCGTCTTATAAGCGATGGTGTTTTGATAAGGAAGTTCAGGACTTATATCTGTGTAAAAAGCAGAATCATATGTAGTGTTATATTAATAGACATGATTGTTTTTATAATAACTATCTTGAGACATACTAAATTAACTAAAAATCGCGGGTTACTCACGTGTAGCTTCACATTGAAAAAAGCTCTACTAGTTTCGAACCACAGAGTGGTTCTTCCAGAATGATTCCTATTTAATTTAGATCACCATCGAACATGAATAGCAAAATATGAAATATGTTTTGATAATGACTTCAGAAATAAATAACAAAAAACTTTAGCCACAAAAAGGAAGGAAAATATGAAAAAGAACACCTTGGTACAAAAATATGCTTTGAAAGCCAATGGTACCTAATACAAACAAAAAATGTAGAAACAAACAACAAAGGATTTTTCATTTTAAAAATCTATATTTCAACAAAAATTTTCCCGGTAACGTATTGAATGTGCACTCGTATCTTACAAAGAAAATTCATACGAACAACTAGTACACAGTACTGAAGCCACTTTCATAATGGCATACAAATAAAGACGTTCAAAATTTCTCATTAGGATATTACAAAACGAGATACTTACCTTATGACGGTGCAAAAGAACTGTAAATAGTACCGCGGAGGGCGGCGCGACGATAAAATGAAAATGAGGGGGCGGGGGGCTCGTTAGTGAACGGTCTCCGACTGAGCTCCACAATTGTCACCACCTCAATATCCAACGCCATCAATCAACAAAAACAACCCTACCAACCAAACCATAAAGCTCAAATTCCTTCACCGATAACTCTTTAAAAAATGCCGTAGGAACAAAGAACGCATAAAATTCTGCAATACAAAGGATTTTCAGAAATGTTACAGACGTAATGTCTAATTAGATGATTCGTTCCTTGCCTTTGTGAGTGGCGATATTTAAAAGCCAACATTGAATGCTGATGGAAGGTGTATCAACTAAATTAATGTTGTTAGAATTTCATATACATTATTTGAAGTAAAATTACTTACTTTACAAGCATATACATAGTCTGGCCATAAATACTGTAACAAATAAAAAAAAATTATTACTTTTACAGTATGTAAGTTTAATACATAAATATAAAACAATTTAAAACATAAAAAGCTTATTCGAAGTGGGCTCCATTGGCTGCAATACAGTCCTTTAAACGTTGAGGCCAGTTATCAATAGAAGCAAGCACTCTTTCCATGGGAAAATTCTTCACTGCCAATCGTAGGTATGGATTGTTTTAGGGAGTCCAAATTATCATGACGTTTAGAGCAAGCAAGGTAAGATAATATTATGAAGTAAAGTTTTAGACTTAAATCTTTATGAAGTTCCGAATAAGTTTGTTAAAAAACCTTATAATCTTTGGATCTGACTATTTCTATCAACTTTTTCGAGTCCTCAATTGACTGCACAGTTGGCGTAGTGGGTGATCAACTAGGTGCTGGACAACATATTGTGTGATCCACAAATTGATGTTTCAAGTTAGGGTGGTTTGTGAAATCTTTGTAAACGCACCCACGACAGAGGAAAAAATCCAAAATGTAGGACAAGGTTTTATTTACTTAACAAAAAAATAACTGCGCTAACATCATTTTTAGTGATGAAGATTTTTCGACTCTTGACCCATTGAATGAAAAATAGTACTTACCAATGCTAGTATTTGGGTGATTCTCCAAAAAACCTTAACTTTTATTTAACAAGTCATTATCCTCCCAGGTTTTTAAGCATCTTAGTAATTTATTTTATACAATATTTTTAATCGGTTGCTTGTAAGCAGTGGTGAGATTTAATTTAATAAAATAATTATCTGTGTTTTAATCAGCAGACTCGTTAATTTTCGGTTGAGGATAATGACATTATTAATTTTTTTTTAATTGATGTGAAGGATCACCCATTTACGCTAAGCCTAATACTAAGAGAAGAACATAACATAATGTCATTATAGTATGATGATGAGTAACCCACGTCTAAAGAACATCTTAGTAGCCATAAATAAAAAAAAATAGAAAGGTCATGTTTGCATGCTGGACCGGAGTGATACCACGGCCTCTTATCATACTGACGTGAAACAAAACCTATGTTCTTCTGTATTTCCACATCATCAACCGCCATCCTAAATCCCTAACCACCCATAAAAGATGTTGCAAACTCCTTTAGAGTTGCATCTGTCTATGGGCGGCACCGATTCCGCATCGTGGCCATTGTGCTCGATTCCTGACCCATTCCATAAAAAATCATAAAAAAAGAACCTCGAAGCGTCTGTGTAATTATGTATAACTTATATACATATTTCTATTGAATTCTTAATATTGCTCTCGGCTTAGTAACAGTCTCGCTTTGTATGGAATTTTAATATTATTCAAGCCAGACTCATGAATAATGAGTACATGCTAATATTGCAATTACTTATTGTGTTAGAAATTTTCTGAGAATTCTAAGAGAGTTAACATTTTATAATAAGTAAAAATTATACTCGTGAAGATTTTTAATTAGAAGTTTACCGCGTTGCTGCTATTGTAACATTTTCAAAAATAATTATGTATGCTTCATATGTATTAGTGATTAAAAGCTACAAATATTGAATAACACTTTTATTTTGACAAACAATTAATCTGTTAGATGTATAATTATTCTTTCATGATAGTTACGATTATAATAATAATAAAGTTACGTTTATAAAAATAAATAAAAAAATCTAACCTTACACCATTTCGTCTCAACGAGCCAATAGACCACTACAGACAGGGCCCTATAGGGCTGATGTTTAGCCGGAGTTACGGGACAAGCGCAATATAGCACCGCGCAGGAGAAGGAACAAGGGGTTTTTGTTCAGTAAGAGTCTGACACTCTTTTTCAGCACACTCTACGTGAGAGGTGACATTCAACGATTTTCCTCTCACCAAAAAGAAATAAAATCTAACACCATTTTAACTTGCCCAAAACATACGTTAAATCTCGACACACGTTTCTCAAACTTTTATTACTTTGGTACAGTCGGCAAATAAGAGCGTGAAAGAGCAATTCAATCTAGCCGGCAACGATGCTATCTGTATGCTATCTGTAGTGAATGAATGAGCGACACAAGTGAGCCGGATATCTTCAGGTGTCGCGGCACTCACATGCCACCGAGACCCTTGTTTACACTCGTACCCTGATGCGTGTATTAATGGATGTGGCTTTAGTTAATTCTTATTTAATCTTTACAAAATGTGAGCTTAAAATCCTTGCATTAAGATTGACATTCGTAAGAAATTTCTGTAAAAAAAAAAACGTCGTCGATGATTATTAATTTCTTCGTGGCCGAGGTCCTTAATGTTCACCTTCTCCGTGTGAGAAAAGGCCCTTGCCCAATTATATTAGTGGGCAAGTAAGGGCTGATGATGTGATGTGTGACCATTAATTTTGTTAAAAAATAGAGCTTATTTTTAAGCCCTATTTTGGTACGCTAAATGGCGACATTGATAACAAAATAATCTCTGTATTCCACATTCTTTTATTTTTATTCATTTATTTCAATTTCATATTCTTTTAATTCATAATCATTTTATACTTATCTTCATTTATATGCAAAAGTAATCATTCATAAAAATGGAGAAGGAAAAGATAATATTTTTATTTGATACCGATAGGAAAACATGGGCTTTGTGTTATTTTAGGTTACTCATCAAAAATTTATTAATGTTTTAATAACAATAACTGATCTATTGACTGTCTTTTGTTCAGTGGTTTGGCGAGATATAACCATAAAAATACCGTTAAAATTGCGCAGTTATCAGAAATATAAGCTTGTGTCTGAATACGTGAGATTGTGATGGCACTTAGGTTAAGGTATGCACAAAGCAGGTTTTAAACCTGGCAAGTACCTATGTGACCATTTCCGTATTGCATGTGGTTTCTATGATTATTAAGAAAATAGCTATAATGAAACATTACAATCATATGTGTAATTTCAAATGGCCTCCCTTGTAATCGCCTCCGCCTTGCCAATAAAATAAATAATAAAGTGCACGAAAGTCTGAAAAAAAAACAGTTTATTGCTTCCTAGCTTCACGTTCCATACACGGCGATGAAAGAGCTCTCCTGGGGCAAACGTCGGACCTTTTAATGGTAACTGCTCGCTCATGTGTTTGAATGAAAAATAAGAAACGTATAACTGCCTAGGTAACAATATGCTGCAGCTCTGATCTAGATACGGAGATATAAACCAGTGTCGGAGCTGAAAAGTGATTAAATTAATTCTTAGTTTTTAAAACGATTGTAATTGTATAAAGTGTAAAATAGGTTATTGGAATTTATTAAAAAAAATGAGTTCTGAAACAAGGACTTCGAAACTATCGACTTGAATCTTGCGTCCTATTAATATACAGTAGATGAATATAACTCAGTATATGAATGAGCCGCAGCCCTTGACGTAGCAGGAATAGAAATGAAGTGATTATCAATCACTTTATAAAAAAACAATCAGGCTGGGTAAAGACTTTTAAAGATCCCTCAAAAAATTTAATATTTTAGAAAGGAGTGAGAGTATCCATATTTATTTCTATATAAGTATAGGTATAGGTCTGTAGGTACCAACTCTTCAACTTTTAAAACATCGAGCGAGTTTCAAAACATCGTTTATCTTACAGATAATTAGGTACCTACTTAACTGGAGACTAAATTCACGACGCCTGGTTCCATAACTATAATTTATTTCATTCCTACAAAATTAGACGCAATTTTGACTGACAATACAATTAAATCAGCATTGTCATGTTATGTTTAATACCTATTTCATCCACTAGTAACTAATACAAAATTTAATATTTATGAAAATAAATGAAAGCCGACTATAACACGTCCGTTCAATATAACGCAATACAAATCTAAATTGTGTTTCAGGTGACGTGTGACAAATAAGATT